CTGACACATTTTTTGCTTTTATGTCAAAGAGTCTATCTGTCGAAGGACTGACGCGACGACAAAGCGTCACAACCAGAGAACTTAAAACAATTTCACATGAAGAATTGAGTGTACATATATACATACAAATACATACAAATGTGCAAACGACATAAGATATGTATATAATATATGAAAGTACATATTTACGTACATAATTACTTTTACACATGCATTTGAAAAGAAAAATTGAAGCATGAATGTGAAATGCCGACGGCAAAACACAATTCTGTACTTTTGTGACTCCATAATTGTGTCAAGTAAATGAATGATTTTAAGAAATATATTATATCAAAATATTTTTAAATTATTATTAATAACTCACAATAAAGTAAAAATGAATTAACATAAAATAATTTAAAAAATAATAAATAATAGTTCAATAAAGGGAATATATTTCAAATGGCATATCAATATGCCCAGTTTTGCTCACATATTATATTCTCTTCAATATTCGTCGGTTGGTATGTTAAGAGAGCGTATGTGACAGATTCACCGCTGTTATAAAAGCGAAAAAATTATTTGTTTCTCGTGCATCTGTGGTGAACTCCTTGATAAATTCCTACAAATTGTTCGCTGTCGAACCTGCACCTTCTCATTGTTTTAAGTTCTCTGCATGAACCTCTCTATGATATACGTTCTCTGTCAATAGTACCCTACCTCCCATGCGTTATACCGTAAATATTAATACAAGTGTTGTTCCAAGTAAACAGGATTTTGAAAAAAAAACAGAACAAATGGTTTTATCGCAAAATCAATTTATTTATTCAAAATAGTGTCCTGCTTTAATACAGCTTTTTGCACGTCCAAAAGCATGTCGAACGAGTGTTTTATCAGGTGAAGTGTTTTATCATGGGAGTGATTGATTTTAAAATGTGATTTTGGTAAAATACCGTGAATACGGCGCACCAAACGCTTCAAAACAGAGAACGTATATCATAGAAGGTTCAATTGCGGACCAGAGAAATTCTTATACATATATATGTAAGTATATGTATAATTAGTGTGCATGTAAAACAATATGAAAGTACCCATTAAATTGTTAATTGTCTATATACAACGTATGTATCTAAATATATATACACTCATTGTTTCATGGATATCAGACCATACACACTCTTACAAACATACATCGCATATGGCAATTGCAAAATCAACCCTTTTCATATATAACGTGGCATGCGTAAATGGAAACAAAGTCAACAAGTTATGTGCATATACGGCAGATGTGTGTACAAAATTTACATATTTACATACGCACATTCTTTGACAAATACAGTCAAACCGGTTAAGTGCCAAACCAAAGTTGCAGATTTTTGTGCTTTATAGTACATAAGCGATTGTGTACTTAAGCGACTGGTACCAAAAATAATTTCTATGTATTTAAAAATTACCGTTTCCTTAAAAATTAAGAAAAACAAACGTGAGATGCAGCAAGACACAGGCAGATAACAGGGATTGAGGAGTGATACTTAACCGGGCTTACTGTATACATAAATCAGAGGAATATTGAATATTTCTTTAAAAGTTTCTTGCATTGTAAACCGACAAATATACTATGTTGTCACTTTTATTCTAAAATATTTTAATACTCATATTTGAGGGTTGTCACTTTTCCTTCTAGAGGGAATATCAGACATTTGTTAATTTATGATTTTAGCTTTTGCCATCGTCGTGAAAAGACGCTGTAGGCAAAAGCATGCTCGGGGATGTGAGGTATCTATTTTTATGAATGAAGCGAGGTTGCTTGTTAAAAGTACGCCTGCGTTCATGAATGAAAATGTTGTTGTTGTGCAATTTACTATAAATTTGGGCTTCGCCTATTTGGCTGACATATTGACTTGTGACGATTGTTGTTTTTGTAGAACAATGTTTGTAGTTTTTGCAGGTGACATATATACATGTGTACGGATATTCATATGTATGTAGGTTGTTGTATTGCATTATTTGTTGGCAATGTTATATATACATACATACATATATATGTTGACATATAAATCAATGTGCGCACATATAGCAGAGAATGTTAATATATGAATATTTATATATTTATTAACATTCTCTGCATATAGTGTATTGATAAGTGATAAATTATGATTTGAATTTCTGAATGCGTACATTCAAATGTGCATGTTCAGATAAATGTACATATGACTATATAAGATTAATATGATAAAAGATATGAAATTATATAAGAAAGCATATTATGTAAAAACTATATAATATTATTAAATGCCCAAATTGACTATAAATATTATTTCGAAATTCCATAATTTATAGATCTTATCAGTTTTGCATGCATTCATAAAAATTCGCAAAATGATATTCATATCAATAAATATGATTCCATATAAACGTATAAAAATATAAGCCAAATTAAGATTATTAAGATAATTAAGATACTCAAAAATATTCAATTTATTTTTATAACATATAGCGGTATTAAATGTAATAATGTACCAGTATACATAAAAGATTTCTAATAAAAATCGTAACTTTACTTTTTTATATTAACATAAAATATTAAGATGCTTTCATATATATTTCTTTTAACCGCAAAGGAGTTAGTTCGAATATTATTTTATGTCGCGAGTATGATAATTACAGCCCTTTACGACCAGTGCGAACTTTAGTGCGTAGAGGTTCTTCAAGTGCGTTTCACTTACGAGAAAGACTTGCTACCTATTTTCTTAATGAAAAATCTCTAGCAACCAGAACAACATAGACGTTACCATAGATGGGCCATATCTTAAACCTAATTACAAAATAACTACTAATTTTCATTACTTCATAAACTCATTACTTTAATTTTTTCGCTAATATTCTTTTATAATAATAAGCATTTATTATTTATACTTTACAAAACCAAAGAAAGCACTCGTCGATTTCTTCTCACAACATATTGCCAATATCTAATCTTGGCTGGAATTTGTAGTAAGTGCTACTTTTATTATAAAACTCCATTCTAGCTTAAACCAAGCTTTTCATTGTCCATATTTTATACCTCTTGTTTCAATAAATTTGTATTCCCCTTTGAACTTTGTATGACATTCATTTGTGCAATGTTGCCGTTGAATAATCGTACTTCTTGTGTTGAAATAGGTATTTGCTGAATGTTTGATGGATTGTGGTCGGATTGATTTGGAATTGTATTAAATTTCGAACTCCATAACGGTTGGGCTTTTGAACTTTCCATTTAGTACTCTTTCATGAATCACATTGAGTTTGGGGAACACAATTCTGTTACATAATTTGCGAAGAATGATAACTGAACCTCAATTGTGAATTGTGCAGTGGCAAGGCAGGCACATCCACTGAACTCAAAAACTCAGTAGGAGAATCGATTGCTTCCTTTTTGTTTTTTACACAGTCGGTAGATTGGAAAGAATGCAATTTGAATTTGAATTGTATATTTGGTTTAAGTTATCCATATCCTTGTTATTTACCACTAAATTTGTTCTTTCACACAAACACTACCATTACCGATAGTAAGCAGTTGACGAGAGAACACTTTAGTAAATGGATCACTTAGCAATGCAACTCTTAATGTTCTTCGTCAGCTACAGTTTCTCCATATATCGCCACAATGTTGATTATACGACACGGTGCATTCGTTTCAGATAGTGATTTTGCTTGCCAGCAAAATTTTGGCCATTCCTGAATGGAAAAACATGTGAAGATTTCTAATATCAACTGCCTTCATCACTGTATAGTACACTTTTTGTTGGACATATTCTACGTGTTGTTCCGGGCAATGCTTGATCGTTTGGGAAGTGCAGTTTTTAACGTCTTACGTTGTGGCCTAGTCTTCATACTGCACAACAATGTGCAAGATCATTTTTTATCTATTCGCCTAATCCTAAAATAGGTACTTTACTTCCTGGTGAAAACCGTTGGTACTAGGCTAATTTAACGTACACCACGGTCTTTGGTATTCTAGTCTATCAAATGATCGTATGTGGACGGAGCCCCCACCAGTATTATAGGCACTTGATATTGCCATCGCTAGAACTAGATACTTGTAAAAGCTAGTAAATAGTATAACCTGGCGACATATGCCAACTCTCGCATCAGACCTTCTGCCTGTAATTATCTCAAGCGAGACTTGATATCCTCGAATTTATTTCTGTGGATAACCGTACCTTCGTTTATTTTAACAAAGCTAACTTGATCTGCTTTACAGAATTCAGAGAACACTTTCGCCGCACTACAATCCATGATCGCAGCTACTACTGTTCGTTTTATTCCAGCTAGAAGAGTTCCTGAAATCAGACCTAATTTCCCAGCCGAAGCAGATGTTTTAGCAAATGAGCGGGACACCTTCCGATGTTAAATCTAAAGGTCGACGGGAGAAAAATACCACACCAAAGTTCTAAACTTGTCATTGATCACTCCTCGTATATCCGATATGTGGAAACGCAAGAGTGGTCTCACTACTGAAACTCGGAAACCAGCCACCCTAAGGAAATCTTATCACTCGTTTAGTCAACAGTAGTGAAGACACTTTCGGCCTGGTTACTCCCGATCTTCACACACCATCTGAGCCTAGCTAATCACTAAGATGAAATATTGAACAATTTACGTTTATTCCAGGGATGAGAGATGGACCATGAGTTATCTGAGCGGTTGTCACTGTGTGTGTTTAAAAGTGAATGCCTAACTCCACGACCTTTTGCGCTTCTTCATTGCAAGGTGCCTAAAGCTCTCCCCTATTTAAAAACAACCATATTTAGAAACTGGACGAAGGAATACGGAGTAGACATCAACATTTTTGTCGATCGCTGCTGCCAGTTCGTTTGAAGAACTGATATTGTTTGTTCTATTCGCTACTCTCCATTGCTTGGCGAACCGGTGATAGCTATTATATGTTAACATTAATTTGCATTATTCAGTTAAAATTTTAAATATCATTATTATACATATTATCCTTATAGTGTTTAGAAATAAAAATACTTTTTGACTATTTTTGTATTTTTAACGTATTTATTTTGTGTTTTTGATTCAAAACTAATAAATTGCACCAAATTAATACCTTATTTGCTAGGCAGTTTCTGTATTCCCTTTGTCATTCAAAATTTTCCGATTTCTGCCAAACTCTTTTGAGATTTATGGTTTGTGTTATGTAAAATGCTGATGTTTCTGTTTCGGGAATGATTGGTGTAATTTTTTTAATAGGTCTGAATTTAAACTTTTTTAATTTTGGTTCGTTATTTAAAAATTTACGGTTATACAGTTTTGCACTCAATAATGAGTATCGTGTGTTTTACGATCACGATCACGATAATGTTTATGTTTATAATATGCCGATTTACGATTTAAAAACACTTATTAAGAACTACATATGTACGCATGTAGTAGCAACCCTTTGCATTAAACCAGTTTATAAATCTATGCCTACGATGTTCAACATGATGGCATCACTTTAAGGCGTTCAAAGGCGGATTTTTCGAGTTTCTCACGATGATCCGGATGACTGATTTGAATGAGTTCATAGGCACGTTGGCGCATATTTTTGCCAAAGAGCGAAGCGATACCATACTCAGTGACAACATAGTGAACATGAGCACGAGAAGTAACCACACCAGCTCCTGCAATAAAAAAATCAGTAACCATAACTAATAAAACTTCTTAATGTTGTTACCTGGCTGCAATATGGGCACAATTTTGCTCTGGCCTTTGTTGGTAATAGATGGCAATGCAATGATGGGTACACCTTTGCCATCAATACCTTCCGCAGCACCACGAATGAAATCTACCTGTCCACCGAATCCAGAAAAGAAGCGGGTTCCGATCGAATCGGCGCACACTTGTCCAGTAAGATCTACTTCAATGGCTGAATTGATTGCAGTCATACTAGGTTGCTGTTTAATAATACTGGTATTATTTACATAGTCGATACCATACATTTCTAAGGTGGAGAATTTTAGTTAATATATTGAAGCCTTTAATATTCTATAAGTTCCTCACCAATGAAGGGATTGTCATTGACAAAGTCGTATAAAGCTTGATTACCAATCAAAAATGAACCGACAATACGTCCTTGATGCATCTTTTTTTTGCTATTGTTTACGCAACCCTTTTGCACCAACTCCACAACACCGTTTGCAAACATTTCCGAATGAATGCCGAGATCCTTGTGGTTATGGCAAGCATTTAATACAGCATCCGGGATATTACCGATTCCCATCTGCAGGGTGGCACCATTGCATATTAAATTATCAGCAATCAGTTTGCCTATTTTGTTTTCAACTTCGCTGGGTGGTTTACCGCCGTGTTGAGGTAATGGCGAGTCAACTTCAACGGCGAAATCAAATTGGGATGAGTGAATGCAGGCGTCACCGAAAGTGCGTGGCATTTGCTTGTTTACTTGAGCTGTGTGTTTGAGGCGAAACAATAAGAAATTATGAAATAAATTCAACATGGAAAATCAAATTTGTAATTATGAATACTTACCTATAATCATTTTCGAGTGATTGGAAGCGGCACGAACGCAATCAACACTGGTTCCTAGTGAGCAGAAGCCGTGACAATCTGGTGGTGAAACGTGCACAATTGCTACATCGGGCTTGACAATACCCTTATAGAAGAGTTGTGGAATTTCGTGCAAGAAAATCGACATATTATCACCACGACCTTCAGCTACAGCCTTACGGACATTGGCCCCCATGAAGAAAGAGTTGGAGCGAAAGATGTCCTTATTTTCTGGCGCACAGTAATCAGCTGGGCCCTCCGTGTGCATGTGACACACAGTAACATTTTTCAGTTTGTTTGTCTGTCCATGCTTTGTCAAAGCCTTGAGCATATCTATTGGGGTGGCTGCGGCTCCGGATGCGAACACAGTGTCACCTAAAATACATATAAAAATATTTTATTAAATACTTTTCTCTATATATATTCATATGCCGGCGAATTAGTATACGAGACCGTTAAAATTATTTTCACTTAACAGATACTGGAATATAAAGAGAAATGCCAATAAGCTTAGAGAATATGGAGGAAAGACAATAGCCGTCCACCCACTGGACAATGTTGTTAACAGCATTATTGTCGTGTTTTATTATTTTAGTACTTGGAATTGTAAAAAATAATTATGAGTTTAGATTGTGATATTAGAAACGTAATAAGATTGAGATTATTCCACCAAAAGTAGACATTTAACAAAAATATTTAATTACTGCATGTTCTATAACAGATATTTTATATTTATTTGAGCACTTTTCACATACTCTTTTTTCATATACTCATAAACAAATGTGATACTTGTAGATTTGTAAAATGTCATGGAAATAAACCATATATGTTAGTAACTTTAGTTAAGACTGTTGCAGCTTTTCATATGCATCGTGATTGTGTCGTAAATACGTACATTCTCATATATTTCTAGAAGCATTCATCGATACGGACTTTTGATAATTTATAATAATTGGGACAATTCCTAAACGCAATAAACATAACAAAATGAATAAACAAGTAAGGAAGGTCTAAGTTCGGTGTAACCGTACTCTATATATTATACTCTCGCAATTTGCAAAGATTGATGCGGAAAATACATTCAGGTATTGCAAAACATTATATAAAACAAATAATGCTGTCATCACAAAAATATTTTCCCAGAATTTCAATACTAGGTTTCACAGATTGACCGATTTGTTCGGCAAAAAATCAGCAATATGCACTGGGGTGCACATTTGATGTCTGGGTTCTTGAAAAGTTATAGTCCGATTCCGACAATTTCTGGGCGTTAGTGGAGTACCTTGATTGATGATTAATTTGTATACTGTAAAGTAAAATAATCAGATGGAATTCAAAAGTTTGCTTGGGAAGCAGGCGTTGTTGTCATCTGACTTCGCCAATTGTCGCAGTGTATGATAGGTAATCTCACACCAAATTTGGTTGAAATTTGTTTTAGTACTCCCCGAGATATAGGACTTCATTTAAAAGTTGAAGGTGCCACACCCCTTGTTCGAATTTTTAAACTCTCTCCTAAAAACACTTCCTTACCATCTCGGTTGTAAAATAATATGTTACGAGACTATAAAAATGTTGTGCGAGAATTCAACATTCATTAAAATGAGTCTAAATTTAATATATTGAGCAACGGAATTCATTATAATAGGGAGACGAGATTTAGACTAGGATCTAGATCACTTTCATTCATATTCAGCGTTTAACCGAGTTATGTTTAGATATACATGCTTACTTTCATTAAAATATCACTTATTTATGCACATATATTCGGTATATGGGGGACTTGGTCTGAGTTTGACATTTTATAGACGTTTGGTGTCTATTTGTGCAAGGTTTTACGCCGATAACTTGGATAAAGGATCATATAGCATTTAAAATTGTTATACATGGGCTGTAGGTGTGATTCTTGTCCGATTTCAAAACGTAACCTAAGTATGTTATGGGATAATGTTATTCCCACATACAGTCGGAATTCAACTCATCTAGTCACCCTCATTATTCATATAAATCTACATAATTCTATATCTTTCTCGATTAGTTTTGGGTGTTATAAACTATCATTCGGTGAACAAGACTATTCTACTCGGTTGCGACATGTTGCGAGAGTATTAAAAGGCAGAAAATAGGCACGTCACGAAAGTATAAATAAACGATAAACCTTCACTTGTTTAATTTCCGCTATAGCGTTTGTATCGGCATAATTTAAATTATACTTTGGACCACTACCACAATTGTTAGTGTAAAAAAGAACATATATATACATGTGTATTTTCGCATATACTATATACGTTGTGATATGTTAATAAAGCTAATAGGTTAATTTGAATTTTTTCGCACCAATAATATTCATGTGGATCTTAAATCAGTAAATACAAACCATTGTACATATACTTATAATGGAAGAGTTGTTTCCCCGCAGTAAATGCTAGAAATTCCTTTCCGAAATCTAACTAGACTGAGACCATTGAACTATTGCTCTTAGTCAATTAATATATCTGCCCAAGAGTTTTGCCCCATAATCGAACTATAGATTGTTTTACCTATTTTTTTTTTTTGACCAAAAGTCGACCATTTTCATAACGTAGAACATTACCATGCAAAATATACCGTATTATGGAAAGAAGACTATAAACCGACTGGATGGATTTGCGGTTCAAGTAGTGTAATGAAAAAGCTGTTATTTGCAAACAAAGGTGTTTTTAAAATTGTGAACAATACAGATGCATACAGACGAACATGTGCAAATTTCATTAATATTTGCAAGCTTTTTTGTATTTAGCCAATTTTTCCAAAGCGAACATTGCACAAATAAATTACGTTACCGACTTTATTGCCGTCAATGAAAATCGCCTTATTCAACTTTGTCTCAGTGTATGGAATGTTTTAATAAACAAAACAAGTAATAGCTCTTCCTTACTTGTTAACTTCGGTTGCACCGACCCTACACAGGTGTATTTTTATAGCATAAAAGGGTATAAAAAGATCTGTATCGATCAGTTTAATTGACGGCTATATGCTATAGTGGTCCGATATGAGCAATACGTATAGAGATTGTAGCGATGCCTTGCATAATAGTCTGTGTCAAATTTCGTGAAGATACCTTGCCAAATAAAAAAGTTTTTAATACATGGATTTGAGTTTGATCGATTAGTTTGTAAGGCAGCTATATGCTATAGTCATCCGATATCAGCGGTTCCGACAAATGAGCAGCTTCTTGGAAAGAAAAGAAAAGGTGCAAATTTCAGATCAATATCTCAAAAATTGAGGGACTGTTCGCATTTATACAGAAAGGCGGGCAGACGGACATGGCTAAATGAACTCAGCTCGTCACACTGATCATTTATATATGTATATATACACTTTAGAGGATCCTTACATCAAGGTTTAAAAAATTGTATATATAATATTTAAAATACAATATAATAATACTCATAGTTTGGTTCAACTAATTTCAAATAACAGATTTAGTTTTACTCAATTTATTTGAAATATATTATATTTTGCATTCAATGATGTTTAATAAAATTTCCATACTAATGCTTCAAACAGTCACTGACATTCCGCCCTTCCGTACTTACCGCCCGTATTACAAAAACATTTGTCAAAAGTTATGCCCGTATTCTCTTTTGTTTCCATTTCACCAATGTTGCCATTGCTGAATTTGTATACATGATTTTGCACACATTTAGTTTTTTAGTTATAATTTTTCATAATGTAAAAGCTCAAAACTAAAACCCAACTATTAACAAGTAAGGAAGAGCTAAGTTCGGGTTTAACCGAACATTTTATAATCTCGCAAAGTCAAATGGTAGACTCGTTTGAAATTTCTTTGTGGATTGACTGATATTTTCGGTAGAAGGTCAACTATAGGCACTGGGGTCCACATATTTAGTACTTAGGGGCTTGAACAGTTTTGGTTCGATTTAGACAATTTTTGGTCACAAGGTGGCATACTTTAAACGTATTATTCACGCAAAGTTTTACCCCGATATAATCATTGTTGCTTGATATGCAGAGTGTAGAGAAATATAGAGTATAAGACAGAAATATGAAATATAACATAGAAATATGAAAATCTCAAGATCACAAGATATGGGTTTTCACCTAAAAGTGGGCTGTGCCACGCCCACTGTCTAATTTTGAATGCGCTTCCTATAAAGTCAACTCATACCATCCCAGAGATAAAATTTATTGTCTCTGGCGTGTTTAGTGCTTGATTTATCGCGCTTTTAGTAGTTTTTAACAGTACCGTTATATGGGGAGTGGGCGGAGTTGCCACCCGATTTCAACTATTTTCACACCGTCAATAGAAGTGCTAAAAACATTTGCTTCCAGTGAATTTTGTTATTATAGCATTAGCGGCTTAGGAGATATGCACATTAATCCTATTAGAGGCGGGACCACGCCCACTTAAAAAAAAAAATTTAACTGCAGATGCCCCTCCCTAATGTGATCCTGTGTACCAAATAACAGTCTTATATCTTTTTGCGGAGCTTAGTTATGGTAATTTATTTGTTTTTGATTAATGGCGTTTTGTGGGCGTGGCAGTGGTCCGATTACGCCCATCTGCAATACCAACCGTCTCACGGCTCAATTCTTACTCAAGTTACAGCTTGCACGGACGGACGGACGGACAGACAGTCACCCGGATTTCAACTCGTCTCTTCATCCTGATCATTTATATATGCATAACCCTATATCTAACTCGATTAGTTTTAGGTGATACAAACAACCGTTAGGTGAACAAAACTATTATACTCTGTAGCAACAGGTTGCGAGAGTATAAAAATAGTCTACCTATTTATAAATAAATGTATGTCAAGTTTATTTTTTAATTACTACAAAATATCGAAACTGGCAGCAATCAGCTCACTCGTTTCTACGGGTAAAATCCAATTTTCGCTGATAGGTCTGTAGAGCGGTGGTGAGTGTTCATTTATATTGCGCTCTCATAAGATAGGTCGTATAAGCTGATTTCGGTGTCTGTCTGAAGCATAAATCATCTGAGATCATAGATTAAATATATTTATTTTTCCCCAATATTATTTATATACACATATGTATGTAAATGTAAATATGGTAAATAATGTATATATGTTAATAAGTATTTACTATGAGATGTTTACAGACAACGTTATAACTTCGTAGCTGTCAAATTTGCTATGACGCACTATCGCAACGATGCGAGCGCACCAAACACATTCATTATATTATATATTCCATTTATAAATATGTGAATAAATGACGAGTGTACTTGTGTTAATTATATTTATAATAAATGCAATTTTATTGCGGTTGCGGCGTGTGTTTAGTTTCAACTTCTTATCAATAAAAACTTAAAAAACCTAATGGGTAGGCAACAAAAAATCCAAATGTGT